GGAGAAGAGAAGGTCGTAGATTTTTCACCAACGAATAGGATCCCGGTGTGACCACGTTAAACACGCTGCCGTTCCGCGATTATGACCTTCTACAGCTTTGCCTTTCCCATCCCAAGGGAGGGGTCTTTGACCTGTTCCGAACGCCTAATATCGTTCGCGAGATTGCCCCTCGTAGGATAAACGCACTGATGAATTAAAAGGTATGCTTATTTCAGGAAACCACTCAAGGGATTTTGTAACTATTACAGTCAAACTTTAAATGATAATAATATTACTGAATATTCGGTGCATGAAAATTACATTTTATTTTACTCATTATATTTTCACTAATTTGATAATAAGCAACATTAGATAATAAAACTAATATTGTTTTTAAATATGTAGTAACCCAATGAGGAATATAGTGGCATAAACACTTTTAATTTGTTTCTTGTTACCCTACGATGTTAAGAGTTAACGACCGGCTTAGGTCTAGACTCGTGCCAGACTTATATTGTATGTATGTACCTGACTTAACTGTTCGATTTATCATCGATTTAATAGTACCAACTCCACGATCTGAAGAATCAGCATGGACGTGATCCAGATGTTTCTCACGATCATCGATACGTAAAGAAACCGGTAAAGTCAACAAAGACGGGACAGAAAAAGCGGCAGCGTAATCGTATGCAAATGAAAACGTTCCCGCCGCCAGCATCTTTACACGCGGATAGAATATGTCCACAGATGTTAATTTATTCTTTCTTACCTTCAATATCTATCTCTCACTCTCCTCTAAATTCACACCCGAAACATATTAACGATATCACAAATCGTCATTAGTAACATTACTTCCAACAAAAGCTTGTGCATTCTGCAAAAATCCTTATATAATTCGATGAACAACGGTCAATTAACGGGAGATAAAAAGACGATAAAATATTTGGTGTCGTGAAAACGATCGAGGCTATCGACGATCGCAAATTCAATTGTACACTGACATGCAAACTCGGCTTCTGCTAAGGGAAAAAGTAGCGTAGAGGAAGGGCCTCCTACAACATGGGATCGGAAATTATTTAAATTTATGCCAAATTGACTGTCGATTTAACATTTATTTCAGTGCTAGAAATAAATTCACCAGCTGGGAGAAGACCCTTTGTCTGTATCCCTTTTTCCGTAGCGAAAACCGAGTTTACTTGTGTGAACCTAGAGGTGAATTTAAAAAGGAGAAAACCTAGATGTGAATTTAAAAGGAGAAAACCTAGAAGTGAATTTAAAAAAGGAGAAAATCTATGGGAATGCATATTCATTTTCTTCGATCGATATATCCGATTAAACTGTTATTTTTCCTATGATATACCGGTCACGTGGTAAATACCAGGAAACAAAATCGTATGGAAATCTCAAGCTCAAGGACGCTCGGTACACGTGTTCGGTTACTTTACCGATCGCCAAATACCAATCGGTATTCCAGGCATACCCCGGCTCCGATGATCGACACGTATTATGTGCTCGATTCGATGTAACGTATTCTCTTCGACGAGGGCGGCCGCATCTGAATACAATGCACGTGAAAACAATAATACAATACATAAAACTGTCTTATGTCGAATTTATGCGGAATACCGTTTACCAAAGAATTTCATTTGTTTGGGTTATCTTGTACGACGAATCAAGATTCGAAGATATAATAATTTGTTTTGTAAATCACGTTACGTATCTGACCCCGATAACCAGAATTTTTAGACCAATTATAACCATCAGTTTATTCTCTCCCTCTTACACCGTTCGAAGTTGATTTCTTCGGGATCGTCTGACCTAGACGTGGACGATTCTACTTCGACCGTTCGCTCACTATCCTCTTGGAACCAATTATAACAAGAATTTTATTTCTTCGTCGGATTCGATATTCAATTTAAGAAACAAACGTGATGTTAACAAGTACACTTGTCCAATGAATACACACGATAACAAGTACGTGACATTAAAACAATGCAGATATCCTTAAATACGAACTATGTCTCGTTATGTTTCAAAGAAAGAGATTCGACTCGATAAAAAAATATAATTACGGTTTATTCGAAGAAGAAAAAACGAAAATCAGACGTGATTTCGAGTGTCCAGTTTCCAAGAAAAAGTTCAATTCACAAATTCGAAATTACACCCAGAATTTCGCTGGAGTTGTCGACTAATTCTCTCTTTCGAACCCTCTCGAATTCCGTTCTCGTGTTCGCGATCGAAAAAAAACAATCGAAACAAGAGGAGAGTCGTCCGTACAAGAATTCACCCCTCGGAAGCCGTCAAACTGTCCCGGAGAATAACTCGTCGAAAAGACAGGAAATAGACGCATTAACCGGGGATCGATCGTTTCCCGTCGACATCCGAGAGGATCGTCCGAGAGGATATTTCCTTGATCCAAGGAGGAATACGGAGTTTCTGTCGTTTGTCCCCCGATAACAATAACCGACGGTTTTTTTTCCCCCCCCCCCCCCCCCCCCCCGATAACGATACCTCTGCGGCTCAGATCGACGCGACGTTCATCTGTAATCGATGCGTTCCATATGGATCAACGATAATGACGGATGACAGAGTGATATGGTAGACTTGATGACGTTGATGCAAATAAAATTTTTTGTTTTTAACTTAATTGACAGAAACCGGTTTCGATCAGGGCTTTGTTTACTTGGTCGACGGGGGTTCTGTAGATTTTAATCGAGATAAAAAAACGTCATTACCGATCTGGACTCTGGATCCATTAAAAAAAAAAACCAGGAACCTGTTTTCTTTTTTCTTTCAGGATCGAACTGAGTAAGGCATTTATTCGAGTAATATTCGTATCATTCGAGTTGGCGAAGGATTAAGGTAGAGGCCTGGGATACGAATAAGGCTCATTAGATCTGGATTAAATATTACAAACAGTGACATAGTTATTCCTAGTATCACTTTGCATCAGGTCCCACTAATTTCTGTTACCACGTCCGATTCGGTTGAACATCCCAATCTCGAACATCTGCTCTCTCTCTGTCTAGTCAAGTCTCAATCGGACCGTAATTATATCCGACAGCTGCGAATACAAAGTTAATAGCATCGAGAATGGATCGCAAAACGAAGTATGATTACAGAGATGCAATTTCGCGAAACGAAAACAGCTCTATAATAAGCAACATCGATCGGAACGTCTATTCTACCGGAGAAAACAGACAAAGACCGAAAGTGGGATCTGGCTATCGAGAAACTATGGCGATGTGGGACAGATTGCAAACAAGAAAGGAACTTTTACAGTCGCGAAACGACAGCAAACAATCCATCCGATACTCGATCGGTTGCGCTGATAATAAGACAACGACGATCTCGCCTACCCCCACC